ATATATATTGTTGAATATTTGGTGTCATGTTTTTTGTTTTTTGTTTTTTTTTTAAGAATGTTAAGTGAAATTTTAATTCAAGTGATATTTGAGTGAGAATTTGAAAATGAATGAAGGAGTGCTAGATTTGTAAATAGTAATGCTTGAGATGTTATGTATGTAAGTGATGATTTTTTTTTTAAGACAGAACATTGATTACAAATAAAATTGAAGTATGGAAAAGATCGGATGTTGATCTTCTTGAAGGAAAAAAAATATTCCATCTAGAAAGCCAATCACCTGGGCCACGTCATACACTTCATCAACGAATGATGTGGTGCCCAGTGGTTCGTCATGCAGACGTTCAAACAAAATATTTTTCTTCTTGCTGATGGGATGTAAGAATCTTAGAGTATTTTGATCTGAAATAAAATGTTCAGGCATATTCTCTAATAAAATAATTAATAATCATATTTTTTTCAATCCCTATTATTATAGGGCCAATAAAGTCTCAAATTTTAGCTATTTATGATGTTAATATCCTTCTCCCACCATTTCTTTTGATTTTATGAAATATTCAATTATTTAATGATGGTACACATGGGAATATAAAAGTTTAATACTTATATATATAAAAAAAGAATGTCAATTTTATAAATGTGTATATTTTATATGTGAACTATAAGATTTCCTTAAAAATATTCTTGATTAAATTAAACTAATATGTTTTATTTAAATATTAAGTACATTTTAAATATTAATTTTTTGTTTAAATAGTGGTATAAAAATAAAATTTAATCAGTTGACTTTAGTCAGATATAAATTACATAAATTGGTGATACAATTCAAACTCATATTTTTAATTTTTATCAAATTTTTAATAATTTGATGGGAACATTAATAAATTGATATTTTGGACTGATTGTATAATTATCAGTATTTTGAATGTCTTTATGTGTAATTATCCCTATCTTTTTATGATTTTTAAAGTCACATGTATGAAGTATGTCAACATTTCATTTCAGTTGATACAATGTAATTTTGAAAGTTTGAATGCTGTGATTAATGCTCCATCCGAGACACACTTCCCAACGACGTCCATCCCCAACTTCCATGGCGGAAAAGTGGAACATCTGTCCTCTGACGCCTCCCTGCAATCACCTTCCGTCCAGGTTTATGCCATTACAGCAGCCCTTCTTCCCTTCTCAGATCTCTCTTCCTAAAAGATCCAACTTTTTCCAATATTCCACAAGCTGCTGCTCCATCCATGGCTTCCTCCTCTTGCCTCGATCTCAGTCTCGTCCTGGTTCCCAAGATCGAGCCCAAAGAAGAGCCAATCGAAACAGACCTCCTCATCTCTCCAATCCGAAGAAAACTCGACTCTTGTACTGCTTTTTGTTCCCGGATTGACTCCTCGGTTACTAACAAGGATGCTCTTTTTTCCGAGTATCATCTCCTCGATCGACATTTTCAGACAGCTGAGAAGCTCCCCGGTTCCATCTTCACTGACTTACCCTATCCACAGTTTACGACAGCTTCTTCCACCATGGTCGTCAGGAAGAAGAGAAAAGCTCGATCTTCCGAAATGGTGAGGATCTCCTTTCTCAGCGATCAGGATCACATTTGCTTCCGGCACCTTGTGCGCCGGGCACGGATCACCTTTGAGTCTCTTAGGGTTTGCCTTATCCGGGACGATGAGAGGGGGGAGAATTTAGAGGTCCTCAGGAGGCGTAACCGGACCGACATAAAGGCTGCGGTATTCATGGCTGATCGCGGCCTTTGGCTCAATCGCGACAAGCGGATCATCGGCTCGATCCCTGGAATCTTCGTCGGAGATGTCTTCTTCTTCAGGATGGAGCTCTACATTATTGGCCTGCACGGCCAGGTCCAGGCCGGGATCGACTACGTACCAGCGAGGCGGAGCAGCTGCGGGGAGCCCATTGCTACCAGCATTATCGTTTCAGGTGGCTATGAGGATGATGAAGATAATGGGGACGTGCTTATATACACCGGCCATGGCGGAAGGCACAAAAATCTACACAAGATGTGCGATCAACAGAAGCTGGAGGGAGGGAACTTGGCCCTCGAGAGAAGCATGAAGTATGGGATTGAGATCAGAGTGATTCGTCGAGCGAAGATTGATCACAGCCCTACGGGTAGGGTTTATGTCTACGATGGCCTTTATAAAATTGTTGATTGTTGGCTAGATGTTGGAAAGTCTGGTTATGGAGTCTACAAATACAAGCTTTTGAGAATAGAGGGCCAAGAAGAGATGGGAAGTGCAACACTGAAGCTGGCAGAAAGCTTGAAATCCAATTCAACGGAAGTAAGGAAGACTGGTTTCTTCTGCAATGACTTCTCAGAAGGGAGGGAGAGCTTCCCTGTTTCCTTCTTCAATGACCTTGATGATAATCGGGATCCTCTACATTTTGATTATCTTGCCCGTCCAATCTACCCTCCGGCTTTCCAGGAAAAGTTTCATGGTGAATGCAGAGGTGGATGCCAATGTGGTACAAATTGTTCATCGTATTGCATCTGTGCAACCCTAAATGGGGGTGAATTTGCTTATGATTCAAGTGGAATTCTTCTAAGAGGGAAACCAATGATATATGAGTGTGGCATTGCTTGCAGGTGCCCACTGAGTTGTCCGAACCGAGTGAGCCAGAAGGGAATTCAACACCGATTGGAAGTCTTCCGGTCGAACGAAACAGGCTGGGGCGTTCGATCCTGGGATTTGATTCGAGCTGGGACTTTCATTTGTGAATTTAGTGGAATAGTGCTTACAAAGCAGCAAACGGAACTGCTTTCCATGGCTGGTGAAAGTTTGGTTTATCCCAATCGTTTTCCTGAAAGATGGGTGGAATGGGGAGATATATCTGATGTTTTTCCAGATTTTATTCCTCCAAAATATCCTTGTTTGTCAGAATTGAGCTTCTCCCTTGATGTTTCAAGAGCTAGGAATGTGGCCTCTTATTTTTGTCACAGTTGTTGCCCGAATGCTTTTGTGCAGTTCGTTTTATATGATCACTATAATCTGTTGTATCCTCATCTAATGATATTTGCCATGGAGAATATACCTCCTCTGAGAGAGCTGAGCATAGATTATGGGGAATTAGATGAATGGTTGGGGAAGATGATAGCGTAGCTCTCTCTGAGAGTGAATGGTTGGGGAAGATGATAGCGTAGCTCTCTCTATGGACGTGCTACTTCAGCTGTATGCAAATTTCCTTGTAACGAGCTACTTTTGGTGACCGTTCTTCAACTGGTAATTTGGTGATTTTTTCTTGTTGTATTGATAGATTATTAATCTCTGTTTATGTATAGTATTTTTGTTTCCATGCATATATGAGAGAATAAATGATTGATGTTGTAACTTTCTGAAATTTTGACATTAAATTCAAAGTTTATGTTAGCTAATGTATCCTTTGGTTTATGATCGGTTTATTTTGTTCATCAAAGAGTGATTTTTTTTTATTCATTGTTATTTCCTCTTTTAATATACCCGCTTTCAGCTGTATTTTTCATTTATTTTTCCAATCTTCTGAGATGACACTAAAAAATCTTAGTTTTATATGCTGTATTTTACTTCAGCTATTACAATTCTTTTTCGGTGATGATTTATTTCCTTATTTGAAAGATTTTTAACATGTGTGAACACATTCTGACCGGCATTTTATGCTATTTTTCAGGTGTATAATAACCTTTTGCATCATGGTAAAAGATGAAAGTTTTGAACTAGAAGGCATGGTAAGATGAGTTCTTCTAAATTTTGGCACAAAATCATCCCATCGTGTGCACATTCTGTGTAGAATCATGTGTATAGGTATGTAATATACCTGTTTTTAGCATATAATTAGATGCACATTTTGTACATATTTGTTTTTTTATATCGCATCCTTCTCTGAAATTCCTATGGGTTAGTTTGGCTATGATTGTCTTATAGTTAGACCAATAAGCTGATAAATTTTCAAAGTTGCAAGCTTACGGAGTACTAGAAATCTTAACTGGCACTTAATCAAATCGATCATGTAATATGTATGTCTTAAAGTGTAGTTACTATTTACACTAGTCAATTTTTTTTGAGAAGCGGATGAAGTCTGACTCATTAAAAATGTGTTGGGTTCAAATTTGTCCTTGGAAGATATGAGAAATGTTAAATTTGTGACCCGAATTTTGTGGGTTTAACTTGCTTTATTAGGAAATTATGAGCATACTGGTTGAGAATCTCAATCATTTGATTAATCTTATTATAGTCATTAGACTGTAATCCATGTGCTCTTGTTTTATTAGCCTCTTTTGAGCTTTTTCCTATAAAAGGAGTAGTGGAAGTCTATAAATGTGAAACCCCTCAGGGAATGAAGTCGAACTTTAAACGTTGAAATGCCTTTTTCATCAAGAACTCCAAAGTTAAGTGTGCTTTTATAGGAGCATTCCAAGGATGGTTGACCACTTGGGAAGTTACACCTATGGGATAAAACCGTGGGTCTATCTAAATAAAGCCGACAATATCTCAATGGGTTAGAGTTCTGGATGTTACAAGTGATATTAGAGCATTATATCCGTGTAAAGTTAGTAATATCTGCCAGTTGGATGATTCTGGTATAAGCAATTTGACGAGGTCGTCAATTACTTCATTGGTGGAGATTGTGAAATGTAGAATGAAGTCGAACTTATAAACATCGAGACATCTTTTGATATAATGATTAAAATTTCATCAAAAACTCGAAAGTAAAGTGCGCTTTCATGAGAGCATTTCTGGAATGAGTGACATCTGGGAAGTTACACCAATGGGGAAAAACTATTAGTCTATCAAGCCAAAGAAGACAATATCTCGATAGGTGAGAGTTCAGGCTAGTACAATAAATACCCCATTTTTTGTACTAGAAAAATGTCCCCCTTCTTTGGTGAGATTTTATGTGACCCGGCACTCTTTAGTTGTGATTCCTTTTTTAGTATAGTGATTTCTCCTCCCTTGCTCATGATTTTTCTTGTCAAGGGTTTTCCACATAAATATGTATGTGCTTTCTTTTATTACTTTTATTTCTATTGTTGTTTATACCTCTTATTTTATAACAAGTAATATCATAGCGAGGTTTTGACCTCAATGATGACAATAATTAAGTTCGATATCCCCATTTTGGATTGCAACATCAATTTTTTTTCTTTGACATGTTAAAATGCGAGTATGACATAGATGAATTTAAACGATACACTATGAAGATTTGATAATGTGCCTTCATTCTGGACCCTGGAAGAGAACCAACGCAAGGATCGGATGACTTTATCTCAAATTCATTTTCATTTATCAAATCAAATTTTAAAGGAAAAGATCATTATTTTGTTATGACTAAAATCAAAGCAATTGTGAATGATTAAAAGTTTCACCACTAACCTACATTTAAAATAATGTGCACTCTCACAGGATGTCTGAAGGTGCCTCCTTTATAGATTACTTAACTACATTTAAGAAAATCATCTATGTTTTATATACCGTGAAAGTTAAGTATGACGACGAAAATTTTGATATTAATTCTTTAATCATCTCCAACTTTAAGAGATATATGCTTGCATGGTCAGGAAACATGTACTCTAGATGGAGTATATGATATCCTGCTTTATAAAAATAATATGAAACCACTTGTGGATAAACTTGTTACTCTTATAGAAGGCTTTGTTGTTCAAGGTAGAACTCATGAATGGAGTTCTAGTGCTAATAAAAATAGTAAGTCAAAATCTAAGAATAAGAATAAGATATATAATTATCATAAGAAAACATGACACGTCAAATATGATTGCTACAAACTACAAAACCAAAAATAAGAAAGCAACTACCAATCAGAAGGGAAAATAATTAAATCATTCTAGTGAAGTCACTGTTGTTGAGAAGTTATTTGCAATTGTGAACTCCTATTTGTCTCGAATGTGAACTCTGGTATGATTGAATTCTTAATTCAACTTGCACATTTAAAATATATCATAATAGGAATTGATTTTTAATATGTAAAATAGTTTTTAAGATGGATCCTTTAGAATATATAAAATAGTTTCTAATTTAATATATATCATATGATATATTAGAATATTATAATAATAATGACTGTTCCTAGCTATTATTAATATGCAGATTATTGTGTTATTTGTTTTTATTTACTTTCATATTTCCCTTTATTTTGCTTTTATTTTTTTTCTTATGAGTATCCCTTGGTTTATATACTCCTCTTTCTATCAATAAGATAGGCTGTTCCACTTCAATATTTTAACATGTATCGGAACTAGGTCCCTTGTAATAGGGTTTATATTCCCTGTTGTTGCCGCTGTTAGCTTTCCCTGCAGGGTCTCCGGTAGGGACTCCTAGCCGCTGGCCTTTTCGACTGGAACGTACAATCTCAGGCCCTTCCCTGGAGTTTCCTGCAGCCACCAACCCTCTCCTGCAACCGCCGACCCTCTCCTGTAGTCGCTGGCCCTCTCTTGCAGCCACTGGTCCTCTCCTGCAGCTGTCGTAGTCCTCCCTGCAAGTGCAGATTCTCCCGCCAGCCTCCTCTGTAGTTGAAATCCAGTGATGTCCCCAAATCTCGATCATATTTCTTTTGGCTCAGTCGGAACCATGGAAGACTCCTCCAGCACCGAGCCATCTTCTGAAAGCGTTCTTGATTCCACCGGAGGTTTGAATGCAACCTTCATTCCCGTGCAGACCGGAGGACCAAAAACCAAAATGAACTTCTTGATCATAACTCACAAATTGAACGACAATAACTTTCTCCAATGGTCCCAATATGAAGCTTGGAAAATGGAGAACTCCATAGTCATGTTATGGATGATCAACTCCATGGAAACGTTGATTGGTCGTTCATGTGTTCCTTCTATTAGTAACCTCTGGACGGCAGTCTGTGATTCCTACTCGAATGTCGGAAATTCCGACCAAATCTATGAGATGTTTAAGAAGATTCAACAGGCAAATTCGGGATGAAGGACCGTGACCAATACTACAATGACCTGGTTGCACTCTGGATGGATAGCGACTTGTACTATGACTATACTTGGGACTTTCCTACCGACTTTTCTCTCTTCCAAAAAATTGTAGAAAAAGATCACATATTCCAAATCTTGGCAGACCTCAATAAAAACCTTGACGAAGTTCGAGGCCATATTTTTTGTTGGGATCCTCTTCCTTTCACTCGCGCTGCTTTCACTGAGATTCGCCGCAAAGAGAGTAGGAGACTTGTCATGCTCGGTACTTCCACCCCTTCAATCGAATTGTCTGCCTTGGTCTCTATTAGTTTTTAACACTCTTCAACGCCACTGTAGGCAAGTCACCTCACTTGTGATTACTGTAACAAACCCAACCACACTCGTGACAAGTGTTTGAAGCTCAATGGAAAACCGACATATAAAACTTTGACCAAATCCTCTGCTAGCAAGGGTCTCATTACGACATCAGATCTCTACCACGGTTCAACCAGCACCTACCCAGAGCATTCCGTAAGCCTCTAGCTCTCTGAAAATTCAGATGGAGCACTTAATCAAGCTACTTGGATCCAATCAGTTTTCTGTTGACTTGTCAATCTCAGATGTTCGTCAAAGTACTACTTCTATGGCACTCATGTCTTTTACCTCTAGTCTGTGGATCATTGACTCAGATGTCACAGACCAGATCACTGGATGCTCGTAAATTTTTTCTACATACTATTCATATTCTGGAAAAGATACAGTCAGAATTGTGGATGACTCCCATAGTGCCTGCTGATAAAGTTCTTGTTTGTATAACAGTCGGACTAAATTTAGAATCTGTTACATGTACTGTTGTTGAAACAGTCAGACTAAATTTAGAATCTATTATGTGTACCGTTGTTGAAATGTAACTTTTTATTTATAGTAAGTTGATGTATGATATTGATTGTGTTGCTCATTTCTTCCATGATGTTTGTGTCTTTCATGATCTTCGTTTGGGGATGATGATTGAAACTGCCAAACGAGTAGCGGGAATCTAATACTTCCTAATAAAAAACACAGAAAACGAGGACATACCACTCAATAATTATAGTTTATCTGGAGTCACTGAATGCTCTATTATATTGTTACATTATTATTTTGTTCATCTTAGTTTTCAATATTTAAAACATTTGTATTCATTCATGTTTTATAATAAAAGTCTTTATAGTTTCAATTGTGAGACGTGTCAGTTAGCCAAACATCATCGGGTTCATTATCCACCCCAACTTTACACACCTTCCACTCCTTTTTCACTCATTCACAGGACGTATGGGGACCCCTTTTGTACTTTTAACTACATCAATAAATGATGGTTTTTTACTTTGATTGATGACATTACTTAGATGAAGTGACACTTTATTTTAAAAGACAAATCGAAAGTTTTTGTCTCCTTCCAGAACTTCTACATCTTTATTTTGACCCAATTCAAATCCTTTGGACCAAAAATGACCGTGAGTTTTTTAATTTTATTTTAGATGGATTCTTGGTGAGTAAGGGCATTCTCCATCATAGCTCATGTACGGACACTCCTCAACAAAATGAGTAGCCAAAAGAAAAAAACGACATCTCGTCGGCGTTGCTTGCTCCATTATGTTTCAATCTAATGTCCCGAAATATTTTTGTAATGATGTCATACTGACTGCCACTTCTCTCATAAATAAAGTCACCTCTAAAATTCACAACTTATGAACCCCCTTAGCCATCTTGATGTCACGTTTTTTTGTCAATCGAGTTTTTTCCACTTTAGATCCCAAAATATATGAGTGCATGGTCTTTGTTCGGAACACTGCTCCCACTCGAAGTAAACTTGATTTCTGATCTATAAAATGTCTTCCTAAGGTACTCTGCCACTCAAAAAGGGTATCAGTTCTTTGATTCTATCACAAACAAAATTTATGTAAGTGCTGATGTCTCATGTTTTAAAAATTTTCCTTATTTTTCTAATTCCACCTCAAGTGAGGGGAAGCTAGAGTTCTTGGACAATATTCCTTGTCCTACTCATATGAATGTTCCCCTCATCGTTCCTGTCATAGAGGAATCCCCGGTTCTTGTTATTCCACCACCTCTTCCCACTCTCTGTGCTTACACCTCGCG